GTTGCACATCACATCCAGATGTAAACTAGCACATATGCTGATACTCGAGTAAAACAGGCCACATTCACAGCATAAGATCTCATGATTGTGCACTACTACGGATTTGAAGCACTGAACCCAGCTTTGCTTCTTGGCTTGAGCTTTGATTATCTGGCCAGTAACCAACTCGTTCATTAAGGAACCGTCTGAGTATGCGGTATTTTTTAGACGTGAAAAACTGCCTGCGCCTGATGAACTGTGTGGCGAAAACGATGAAAAATGCCAAATTTGAAAGAGTAGATGCTGTGGATGCAATTGTTTTGAGAATTAATTGCAACACACAGCTGAATACTTCCTGAAGTCTTCTAGTTATTGCCCCTGCTAGCACTGAAACTCATTGCATTTTGTAAGATTTCTTCATATGTTCCTGCTGTTTATTAAAATCAGGTCGTTTAACTGACATGATGTCTGAAGCTTGCTTGGCCAAAAACAAGTAATTTCATTCATTTTGTTAGTTTATGCCGAGTTGAAAAAAATTGAACACATTCACATATGCAATCTTTGATCATATTCCGAATTAGGAAATAGTTATAATGCAGCCTGAGATAATTATGATTAGATTCCATGTTGCTACTGTGTTCTGGTACAAGACATTTTGTTCATTTGTCACGTGAACAATTTCATGAAGATCAGACTTTGCATTGACAAATTATAGGTCAATTACTTAGTATGGAAGAAAAATGTATTTGCTCATAAATGCAAAAAAAATAAAAAAATAATAAAAAAGAAAATAATAATAAAGAAAAAAACAAAGAAAAAAATAAAAATGTAATTTAGCAGACATTTTGAAAGCACTGATTCTCAACCATAAGGGGCTCTCAAGACTTAAAATGATTTAAAATAAGACAAAACAAGCATTAAAATAAGCTAAAATAACTAAGATATTTCTTATTTTAGTTAAACCCCTTAATACCTGTTTTTGCATTTGAAGAACTATTATTCCTACAGTCTTGGGAAAACTTGGATATATGTGGTAGTTTAATTTTAAAGGGGTCATATGATGCGATTTCAAGTTTTCCTTTCTCTTTGGAGTGTTACAAGCTGTTCGTGAATAGATAAGATCCCTGAAGTTGCAAAGACTAAAGTCTCAAAACCAAAGAGATATTCTTTATCAAAGTTAAGACTCTGCCACGCCCCCCTAAAACGGCTCGTTCTAACACGCCCCCACATATCTA